TTCTCACAGCCTGTGGCTGGGCAGGCCAACAGCTTGGTGCTAGGTTATGGAGGATGGGCTGATGGGTGCCAAGCCCATGGCCGCCATTTGGGATGTGGTTTTTCTAAGACGGTCACTTCTCTTTTGCTGATCAGGGTGATGTGCCCTCAGACAACCACATGTCCTTGAATCACATGCTCTCCTTGTGTTCTTGCTGCCGCAGCGCTCCTGTGAGGTACTGAGCGTGCCCGCGGTGTGGCTGCTATGGGACCTGGGAATGCTGTAATAGATTTGCTGCTCTTGGCACTTCCTGTTTTTAACAGCTGGGCAAAATGTAGCTTCGGGCCGAAATAGCGACTGTGATGGCCTGTCCCCTTCTGGGGTTTCCATCTCTGCTTAGAGGTGCCCACTGGGTGTTTCTTAATCCTTTACTGCCCTCTGTGATCTGTTGCCATCATACACCCTTTAGTCCTGTCCCACTCCCAATGGGCACCGCCTCGGGATGGGGACCAAATCTTCATCCCCAAATGCAACTCCACTTCCCAGAGGACAGGCTGACACTCTAGGGGGTGGGGAGGGACTGCTGCTGTTACTATTTTATTATTATTATGTAAGTACATCACGCTAATGACTTTGCTGACCGCCTTCAGGTGCTCAGAGTTTTAAGGTTCTACCACCTCCCCCTCTAGTTCTCTTTTCCCTGGAGCCTCTTGTTTGGCCCTTAGGTGAAAAAATTGACAGTGAGAGACAAGGACCTGTGTGAGGTATCTGTCGCTCAGGAATTTTTAAGAGAATTTGTTGTTCTGTATCAGCCCAAGTAGCTTGGCAGGATGGTAACCATACAGGAGGCATAATTCTTGGAAATTCCCTGTGCACTCCAAAAGCAGAACTTGAGAATTTAGAACATGGCTTTCTTCTGAAATGATGTTTTTGGGGGTAGTTTCTAGGTTTGGCCACAGAGCGCTTTGTTTGCATGCAAAACTGCAGAAGCCATGCTGTTTCAGAAGCATGCCGGTCCCTTAGCCCACATCCTTCCTGGTGAGGATGTGAGTCAGACTCCAGTAGCTACGGCGCAGAGAATTGTCATTCAGGGCCAGAGAACCGAGCCAGGAATTGACGGCAGGGCCGTGCACACCACGGGCTCTCTGGAGATGGTTCAGATTTTAAAGAGCTGGATGTGTTTGCTCTTCATTTCTGCAGGTTCCTGAAGCTCTCACCCTCACTTAATTCCATCAGTGACTCCCAGCCCCGCCGGCACAATGTGGGTGGTGGTTTGCGCTAGGGTAGCTGTAATTACAAAATGTGCGGGGCACCTGGGTGGCTCAGTGGGTTGAGCGGCTGCTTCCGCTCAGGTCAGGATCCCAGGGTCCTGGGATTGAGTCCCGTGTCGGGCTCCCTGCTTGGGGGAGAGCCTGCTTCTCCTTCTCCCTCTGTCTGCTGATTTGCCTACTTATGCTCTCTCCCTGTCAAATGAATAAGTAAGTAAATAAATAAAGAAGTAAATAAGTAAGTGCATGTAAGGGGGCGGTTGCACGGGCTCGTCATGGTTTATGTGCCTCTGTTGTAAAGCATGGAGTAGCCCTGAATGCACCGTATGGACAGACACCCGAGATTAAAAGACATAAGCAGGCTCCGGAGCAGTGGGCAGAGCATGCCAAGATTTATGTCAACAATGAAGTGGTGGGTAATGAGTTGCAGTCTGGGGTTTGGAAAACACTGGCTCTGAAGGTTCCTGGGAAAACCACGCCATTTGGGTATCTGGAGGAAAAGCCTTCTCTGATCTTGCAGAAATGAACCTGAGTCCTTATAGGACCCCAGTGATTGTTTTTCAGGAGGGGGATAGGGGTACAGGAATAGAAGGGAGCTCTTTTTTTCGTACTGTTTGAAATTTTTACCACATTCATATAAACTATTAAAAAAAGAGTAAGCTGAGACTGACATGTTTTGACTTGTGTCTCCAAATCCTTACGTTGAAGTCCTAACCCTCAGGACCTGAGAATGTGACCTTATTTGGAAATCGGGTCTTTACAGATGATTTAAGATGAGGTCACTGGGGTGGGCATTGATCCAATATGACTGTGTCCTTTTACAAAGGGAAAGTTTGGACACAGACCCACATGGGGAGTATGCCACATGGAGCTTGGAGTTCTGTAGCCACAAGCCAAGGGACGACCGGAAGCTAGAAGAGACTCCTGGAACAGATCCTTCCTTAAGTCCTTCAGTGGGAGCTTGGCCCTGCCAGCACCTTGATTTTGGACTTCTGGCCTCCAGAACTGTGCGTCAATACATTTCCGTTGCTTAAGCCTTCCAGGTTGTGGTCATTTGTTATGGCAGCCCCGGGGAAAGTAAGACACCAAGTGAGAAACTCTTAGCAGAGTCTCCAAAGAAAGGGATTGATGGGCTAGAGAGGAGGAGGGGTGGGGGGAGGGAGTTGGTTAGGGATGAGGTGGGGGGGTGCAGCATGCACAGCCGGGCCCACCCCACCTGGACCCTGTGCTTGCTGCTTTGCCCTGCCTTCCCTTACTGGTTGCCTGCCTCAGTTCTCAGCTGGACAGGCTGCCTGGGAACAGATGTGATCCTGCGATGCTGGGAGGCTAGGTCAGTGACAAGCCTCCTAGGAGAGGCCTCTGTGTTCATCATAATAGGACACAGTTGTTTGGGAGGAGTTTGCTAATCTGTGAGTCACATCCTGACACCTCAGATTTCTCAGATAGGCTCAGACTTCTCCAAGCACAGCAAGGAGAGTGAATTGCCTCAGAATGACCCACAGTCATGAAACCTGTCAGACTGTGGGGCCTTTCCAGGTGCCACAATAGGTCTCTGAGGAAACCGGATCTTGACCTCCATGGTGTCAGTCGACTGAGTTTGGGGCTGTGTATTGTTTTTGTGGCTCTGTCTTGTGTTCCCTGACTCCTGCTCCGGGGCCTTGAGACTTCCTGCAGAGGACCCAGGGGGAGTTACCTCCTACAGCTGCGGAGGCTGACACAGGAGGCCCCCGCCTGGTTTGCCCCAAAGAAGGCCCCTCCAGAAGGGCCTCAGGGCCCTGCTCCTGGTTGCATGGAGCTTGATCATCAAAAGTAAATTAATGTCCCAGCAAGGCTTTGGAAGTCTGTTCCAAACAGGTGAAATGTCTTTTGGGTAAAAGACATTTGACCACATCTAGAAGGGATTGAGTAAACAAAGGCCTGGTTTAACCTGCCTGACGGGCCACACAGACTTCTCCATTTGGCAGATCGGCCTGTCCAGTGGGATAGGTGGCTCTGTCTTCTCTAAATACCAAGAACGCCTTCAGAAAAGCATTTCAAAGTCAGTGGGAACTCTTGGAGGAAGGTCTGCCAGCCACGGACACCTGGGCTTGTCCTGAATGCCTTTAGGAGAGGGCAGGCTCCATTAGCACAACTTGGTTCAGAGGTGTGAGACCTTGGCCTGGGGCTCCACAGACCTGAGAGGGGCTTCATTCTGCCCCTCCCCCTCCTCTCCATAGATTTGTTCCTCCAGCTAATCCAGAGAAGTCACTTAGCCATTCCCAGTGGTGGTGGAGAGGTCCCAACTGTGTGGCGTTAGAACCCAGAGGCTCATCTTTGTGGACGGCCAAGTTTCCTCACTTAGATCATAATTTGTGGACATGCACCTGGGTGTGTCTGTTAGCTCATGTCATCAGAGAGGGGGTGGGGACAGGGCCTGGCCCAGAAGGTCTGGACCCAACAGAGAGGAGGGGGACATTTTGAGAGGAGAGGAGGGGATTCTACCGAGGGACCTGCCCCCGCTGCCTTGGGTTCAAGCCTTAGGACACGGCCAATAGCGTAACCAAGGGAGACCAGGCCACTGGAGGAGGGTGTACAGCAGGCGTGTGTCACTATGGCCTATGGGAAGCAGGTCACCGAGCCCCCCTGCCTCTTTGCCCTCAGAATGAGGGAGATGTGTGACAGGAGGAAGTCAGGGGGTTGGGGCTGCGCAGGGTCATCTGCTGACTGGAGACATGTAATATGTTGTCTCCAGAGAACCGAAAACTTCCTGCTGAAGACCTCATCGAGTGCTCAGGTGTCAGCACCTGCCTCTCTGTCAGCAAATGGGGAGGGAATATTCCAGCCAGGCAGTGTCTGTACATGATTACTGGGGCAGCACGTGGAAGGGCGGCTGTTGAAGGTGATGTGTCTGCGTCCACACCTGGGAAGGGCAAGAGGGAGAGAGTGCCATGGCATCTTCACTGTGGTCGGGAGCCCCAGTCCCACCTGGTGCCAGAATCCCACCTCCCCCTCTGTCCCAGCTCTCCAGTGCCACAGAGAATCCAGTTTTGTCAAATTCCTTGAGGCTGGATTTTCCCAAAGGATGTGCAGTGAACCCTTCTCTAGTGATGCGTGGCCCAAATAAACTTGGGAAACCTGCCACACTCTCCCTTTGGAAGAACCCACAGCTCACATTAGTGGGTATCAGAGACTCTGAGAAACCCATACAGATGAAGCTGTTTGGTTTTGTTTAGCCCTCGTTTCCTCCTTTTCTATAACTTCTATTAACTGTAACTTCTATTTATGTCCTGCCAACCCAGTGAACCCATTAGGCGGCAGACACCCCATTGGTGGTTAGAACAGACTCGTGGATGTTGTGTATAGGTTCCTGTCCAATCCTTTGTGTAAGTGAAGCGGTCATCAGTATGTGCCTGTCTGTGTGCCCAGCTGCCTCCTGCCATTCCTCCCCAGCTGCTTCAGACATTCATCGCAAGCCATTCTCTGGTCTCATCATCTCCTGGGGACTCTCAAGGGATAGCTCCTGGTGGTCTGTGTTCGTTTTAAGACACTTCCTCCCGTGTGACCCACAAGGGGCCAACTTGGGTAGGACTGTCCTCCTTTACTTTGGACACTGCCCAGGGATTTGTGTTCCCTTTCTCAGCAGCAGCGTCCATGTCCTTGCACAACAAACCCAGAGGTGAGGCCATTGCTAACCTTGGACAAAAGAAATAAGATGGCAGCTAATGATTACTGTGTCGGTGAACTTAAAAGGGGTACTGTGTTTTCTTCCCTTAGGTCATCTTTGCTTTGAACCAGACCCTCCTGCAGCAGGAGAGCCTTCGAGCAGGCAGCCTTCAGATCCCCTACACGACGGAGGATCTCATCAAACACTATAACTGTGGGGACCTCAGCTCTGTCATCTTCAGCCATGACAGCTCCCAGGTGAGGGCCTTGGTCCTCTGCCCCTTTCAGCGTGCATTTAAACACAAGAGTAAAGACATTACCTACTGACACCTGGACCTTCTGTGTACAAAGGATCGAGGTCATAAAGGGCTCCAAAAATAAAATTGGGCAGGTTTAGATGTTGAAGGAGATGCTGCAGCTAACAGAGGCATTCTTTATGCTACTGGGAACTGGGGGCGTTGATGAGCGTTAAATCTCAGATTGAGGCAAAGAATGAAGCTTCGAGGGATCCAGCAGCCGGGTCGGCCTCTGGGGCACGGAAGGGATCTGAGGGCGAAAGCCCCCTGGCTGACTTAGGCAGTACTTCTGGGAAGAGACGGAGCAGAACTTCACCTGCACCTTAGCAGTGGCTTCTAGGAGCACGTGAGCAGGATGGGTTGGATTGTGCCCGTGACCGAGCTGGTGTAGTGAGTGACACATGGGACAGGTTTTACCTGTGACCTCTCAAGGGGGAAGGAAGCTCAGAGTGCAGCCTCCCTACGGGGATGTTTGTTACTCTTTTATCAACAAGCTTCCTGGGGACAAACCATGGCTCCCTACCCTTCCCCCACCAATACCATATGGCGGTGGCAAATGCCAGCTGAGCTTGAGATGGGGAGTGTGTTGTTTCCAGCCCCAGGACCAGCGTCCTCTTGCAGGAGGAGGGCAAGAGCGATGCTTGGGTGTGTTAGATCTGGGGACCCTGTTGTAAGGCAATGTGCGTGAATATAAGAGGTGAACAAGGAATGGCAGGTTGGGGAGAGGGACAACAGAGGCTGGACCCAGCATCAGCCCCACAAGTGTCAAAATAGTTAATGAGCTTTCTGGAGAGTCTAGTGCTGGAGGAAGTAAATCCTAAGCAAAGCAAGCAAGGGGAAGGGGAGAACAAGGAATGCACTAAAGAAGGAATAGTAGAGTTTATGGTGATGACAGTTCTTACTGGCACTTGTAGTGGGTGTGGGGTAAGTGGGGAGACAAGTCACCGTCAATTGGGACACATTAAAATCTGAAATGGCAGGAAAAGCTAATACGGATGGGGGATTTGGAAATTAGATGGGTAAATGCGAAGGCTGGTGGGGGCGGTCAGAGAGAGGCACCTTATGCTTCCCTTTTCTGTGGCTCCTTCATCCCTGGCCTGCTCACAGCGCCCCCACCGGTGGTGTGGGGTACTGAGGAGGTGGTGCCAGGAGGGCAAGGCTGGTCACGCTGAGGGGCACAGGTCAGAGGGCACATTTGGCATTTAGAAGGGACAGCAGGATGGCAGTGGGAGGCTGCCCTGCACACTCTGGGCTGCCTGTGGGGAGGGGCCGGTACAAAGGAAGTGCTGTGCTGAAGAGAAGGGACATGGAGAAATGGACAGAAGGATGGCACATAAACGACAGGATTTTTGAAAAGAAGATGAAGGAATAGATGAAGGCTTTGGATTTGGAAATGAAAAAAGTATCATTTCAAGTAAATAGCCGAAGAGGATCTGTTGTTAGTGAAATGGAAATTGACGGCTGTGCCACAGAATAAGGACGTTCAGAAGGCCTTGGAGGGGCTGCTGCAGGTGGGAGATGCTGCCTGGGTGGATATCCTGTTTTATAAGCTTGCAAATGGTGAAGCTTATTAAATCCCTGGGTAGAGGAGAGAGCACCGCACCCAGGAGGAGGGGATCCAGGTGGGGTGGGAGAGAACCCGCGTGTCGCCTCATCTACAGCTGCTGGGCTGCAAGTAATACCACCCGGACGGTCATAGTTTTGGTGTAACGTCACCCTTTTGTTAGTCCAAACACCACAGCTGACCAAGATGTGTGCCGGAGCCAGGTGAAATATTTGCCAGGAGGGCCAAGAACACCGGAGAAAGCAAGAGGAAGACATGGGAATTGGAGACTTAATGACAATGAACATGTATGGAATTTAGAAAACAGTCAAATGGCTATAGGCGTTCCACGTGTTTGGTGGTAGAATCATAATTATTGGTTCTAAACTATGTATTTATGTAAAAGTATTTTCCTAAAGAAAGCATGCGTGAATCCAACAAGTACAAACTCGGGATGTGCTAAGGCAAAAGATAGGGTCTCCTTATACAAACACATGGTGCCAAGCACTCTCATTTAAATGGAAGAGAAGCTCTGTCTAAAATAGCCCAAGGGTTCTTTCAGTGCTTCGTTTACTGTGTTTCCACCTGGGTTACAGACAATGATATCCCAGTTTGAAAAAGCAGGTGGGAGACCCCAAGAATGGTGTGTTCCCCCCCCCACCCCCCCCACAGCGGTTTGACCTTCTAGGCTGGGTGATTTGGCGCTCAAATTAAGCAACTTCCTTCGTTACTCTGTTGCCCCTAATTTTTTCCTTTTCTCTTTTGGCGGAGGTTCCCAATTTTATTAACGCCACGCTGCCGCCCCAGGAGCGCGTCACCGCGCAGGAGATCGACAGCTACTTCCGCCAGGAGCTTATCTACAAGCGGAATGAGAGAATGGGGAAGCGGGTGAAGGCGCTCTTGGAAGAGTTTCCTGACAAAGGCTTTTTCTTTGCCTTTGGAGCTGGTGAGTCGTAGGTTACCTCTGCTGGGACGCTGGGCTCGGATGCTCCCTCCACGAGGGGCCTGCTGGGGTGGCGCCTGGAGGAGAAGAGCTGGGCGGCCGGCACCTTCTTTGCCGTAGTTCACTCGCCAAGAGGCTCGGCTGATGCCCCAGCGCCCCGCAGGGCTGCAACTTCGCTGGAAGGCCCGGGGCGGATAGATCCCGCTGCTACCGACTGCTAACAGCGTACGGGGAAACAGACTGGGAAAATGATTTTCTTCTGTAGGCTTTTTGAAATAAATTATCCCCTCTTCTTGAGTGATTCTATCACTTTGTATCTTTGCCCCCTCCAGAATTAAAGATGGAAGTGCCAGAGGCTGGTAGGGTGCAGAGAGACCATTTGCTGGCCTCCGCTTTCTCCCTTCATTTCTTCCACTAGCTTTGTAGACTTTGGCAAGTCACCTCCCTCAGTATTTCTTATGAGTAAGATGGGGGGTTGGAGAGAAGCTCTTCCGGAGTGGCTGGAGGGGTCCGGTATAATTATCACTTGACCTCAAGATCCTGCTTCATTACAGCAGCGAAATCTCCCGCCCCCCCGCCCCGCCCCACGTAATATAACGTTCACAGGTTCCAGGGATTAGGGTGCAGATTTCCGGGGGCCATTTCCACAACATGTGAAAATTAGTCAACATGCTAACCCCATATAAGTAGACTAAAGGCCAAGCATCACGTGATGCTCTCAATAGATGTAGAAAAAGCTGTTGATAAAGTGCAGTATTCTTTCATGATAAACACACTCCTCAGAATCCGGCTAGAAGGGAATTTACTTCATCAGCCTGTGAAAGGTCAGTATGAAAAATCCCACATTAATGTTTAATGGTGAAAGCCCAGAACAGTTTCTCCCTAAGGTCAGGAGTAAGACAAGGATGGCTGCTCTCACAATGTAAAATTAGACACAGAAAAGGAATAAAAAACATTTAAATTGGAAAGGAAGAAGTGAAACTATATTTTTTCTCAGGTACAATGGTCTTGTGTCTAGAAAATGCTAGGTAATCCATTAAAAAACTGTGAGCACTAATAACCAAGGGTATAAGGAGGCAGGATACAAGATTAATATACAAAAACCAGTCATGTTTCTATATTCTAGCAATGAAATTTTGAAAATGCGGCTAAGAAACCAGGGCCATTTATTTATTTATATTAAATTTAAATCCAACTAATTTAAAACACACATACAGTGTGTTATTAGTTTCAGAGGTAGAGTTTAGTGATCATCAGTCTTATATAACACCCAGTGCTCGTTACATCATGAGCCCTCCTTAATATCCATCACCCAGTTACCCCTTCCCTCCACCCACCTCCTTTCCCGCAACCCTCAGTTTGTTTCCTATGACTAAGGGTCTCTTAACGGTTTTTCTGAAGCCAGTTCATTTAAAAGCATAAAAAAAATGCTTACTACTAAATCTAACAAGTGACATGCATGATGTATAATGAAAACTAAAAATATAATTGAAAGGAATTAAAGAAGACCTAAGTAAATGGAAAGACATCTCATGGTCATGAATTGGAAGACTTGATAAATACTGTTAAAATGACAGTATTCCCCCTAATTGATCTATACATTCAGTGAAATTGTTATCAAAATCTCAGCTGATGAAAATGTTTTAAAATTAGATGGTGGTGATGTTTGCACAACTTTATGAATATTTCAAAAATCTCTGAATTGCACACTTTAAAAGGATGTATTTTAGGGGCGCCTGGCTGGTTTAGTCGGAAGAGCGTATGACTCTTGATCTCCAGGTCATGTGTTCAAGCCCCTCGTTGGGTGTAGAGATTACTAAAATAAATAAACTTAAAAAGAAGATGAATTTTATGTTACGTGAATTATACTCAAATAAAGCTGTTGTGGAGAAAATGAGAGGTTGGGCTCCTATATTTTGTTCATTGAAAAATGAACAATTTTGCCTTTGGTGGCTGGTTCCTCTGAGCTGGGTGAGTGGTTTTCCTCTTCCCTAAATCATTCTGTATTTGGATTGTGCACTGTGCCAGGTCATACTGTGCCCACAACTGGCCCGTCTCAGTAAAGCTGTTGGCTCTGGTCCTGCGGCACCCTATAGGAGTTAGGTCCCAGAAGCCCTCATGGTGTCTGGTGGTGTGATGGTGGCTCTCTGTTGGGATTCAGAACTGGTAGCTTTGTCCCAGTGGCTGTGCTGGGTCCTCCAGGAGGGAAGGTGCCAACCCCTGAGCTCCTACCAGACTCAGCTGATGTCTCTAAAGCTTTCCTGATGTTCAGTGGTAGAGAGTAGGGCACTGGGTGCTGGGGGAAAGGTGGATGCTTTGAGATGACAGTGACTGGCCCTGCGGTGTGAGGCTGGGCAGCAGGTTGGTGGGCAGGTTGATCTGAGCAGATCGTGGGGGCAGGCCCTCTGGTTGGGGACTGTGCTGGACAGAGGGTTCAGGTGAGACTGCAGCACCTGGGCTAGCCTCATTCTCTGGGCACAGCTCGTCGTATTGCTGCAGCTCTGGGGAGAGGCCTCGCAGCCTCTGGGCATTTGGGGATCAGGAGTGCCCTGGGCAGCTGCTAGTGCCCTGGGCAGCTGCCCAGGTTCTCTTCCCTGGAGCTGCTTTCTCCACCGCCTGAATCCATTTCTCCTCGTGCCTTCCGAAGGCTGTGTTGGCTGGAGGAACCCCAGAAATTGCTCCTGACACATAGTACTAGTGGTTTAAAATTTTAAAAATCTGCAGTTAGCAAACTTCTAATTGCAAAGTGAGGATAACCAAAACCTAAAAGCTCCAGCATTTAAAAGCAAACAGCAGCTTTTGCTGCGGGGGCCTGGAGATAAAATTTAGAGATGAGAAATGGAGCGCGCCTTTGGAGCAGGAGGAAAATTAAGTCAAACAGAATAGCTCGGTTCTGTGATGAGAAAGCATTGGTAATGGGGACAGTTCATTGACTTGACAAGTATTGTTTGCCTTCCTGATTGCTGGAGAGCGTGGACTCTGGAGCCAGACCCCTGGGGTTTGAGATGCTATCTGCTTCATCTCTCAGTGCCTCTTCTCACCTGTAAAATGGGGATACTACTCTACCCACCTTATAGGATTGTTGGCATGGGGGGGTGGTGTCCAGTGGTGTGTAAAGCACTGCACCTTATAATGTTCAGTGACTATTTATTTTTGTGATCACCCCCACTGTGTGCGCTTGGCAATGGCGGGGGAAGTGAGGTCAGGGCAGCACTCTGCAAGCTTAGTAGCCACACCCCCTTCCACCCAGCCCAGGCATAATCTTGTATGTATGTATGTTTATATAAGTGCATGTGCGGGGGGTGGGTAAGGTGGGGGAGGATTGGGGGGGAGGGAGAGGGACAAGCAGATTCCCCTGAGATCATGACCTGAACCGAAACTAAGAGTTGGATGCTCTACTGACTGAGCCAGCCAGGTGTCCAGGCATAATGTGTGCACTTCTGCACCAGGGTTAATCTGGGCCTTGCCAATGCACCTTTCATCTGAGCCAGTTGCCTCTCATCAATCTTGGAGTCATAGACCCTACAATTGAACCCAAGAATGGAGTAGGGCCCAATATCTTCTGCCACAGTCCCCACCCTCGGGCTTCCTAGGGTCGCAGAGGCTGATCCAGGTTCATTCTGTGGGACCAGGACACGGGAGAGACCTACAGACCACTTGTCGTCTCTTCTGCAGCATGGATGTACCTTAATTTGCAGTCCCAGTCTCTGGTTATCGAATACTGAGGTGTCAAAATTGCATAGACTCTGCCGCTGCTTAGCATGTGAAGTCCAGAACCTGTTTTACCTATTTTCTAATTTAAAGTGGAGATAATAACAATTCCTCTAAAGTTCTATGCCATCACATGATAGACTGCTACAATTTAATGGGCCATTTAGGACATTAAAGTGCCATACACTGTCACAGACAGGGACATGTCAGTTCTGAGCATCAAAACCAAAGGAGGGGCGCCTGGGTGGCACAGTCTGTTAAGCATCTGATTCTTAATCTCAGCTCAGGTCTTGATCTCAGGGTCATGAGTTCGAGTCCTGTACTGGGCTCCATGCATGGAGCCACCTTAAAAAGAAAAAGAAAAAAAAAAAAAACCTGAAAGGAAAGAAGGTTAATTTCAAGGTCTACTTTTGACCTTTAAAATGTTTATTTGAAGATGTCACCACAAGCTTATCTGTTTGATCTTTGTTGTTTTTTATTAAAAGGGAAAAAGTGAGGGGAGCCTGGGTGGCTCAGTGGGTTAAAGCCTCTGCCTCAGCTCAGGTCATGATCTCAGGGTCCTGGGATCAAGCCCCGTGTCAGGCTCTCTGCTCGGTGGGGAGCCTGCTTCCCCCACCCTCTCTGCCTGCCTCTCTACTTGTGATCGCTGTCTGTCAAATAAATAAATAAAATCTTAAAAAAAAAAAAAAAGGGAAAAAGTGAAATAAAATTCAGGCTGAGGTTTCCAGTTATGGTGGCTTCTGCTAAATGGAGGTTTTAACTGTACATTTATCTTTATGTGTCAGACAGAAGAGGGCTTGGGTCTTAGAGGTGGTTGGCTTGTATAAATGAGGAGAATGGTCAGGACTGTTAACACTGCCTTCAGAGGTAGAAGGTTGGGATTTGGTGTCTAGGCTGTCCTCTTACTGTGTGATTCTGGGCAGCTCACTGCACCTTTCTCATCCTCTGTGTCCTCATCTCTGAAATAATGGTTACTGCTCCCTGTCTACAGACACTCTGGAACTCTCCTGGGCTGGAGAGAAGGGATGGAGGGTTGCCCAGGTTATTTCTTTGATCTGGGGTGCATGCTTGGGGGTATGTTTAGTAATCATGGGAACTGCCGTGTTTCTGATCATTTTTCTTCCCGCAGGTCATTTCATGGGCAACAACACAGTACTTGATGTCTTGCGGCGCGAAGGCTATGAGGTAGAACACGCCCCTGCTGGACGACCCATCAACAAGTAACCTTCCTGTGCTTCTATCCTGGTTGGGGAGCAGTTAGGGGGACCAAGACCCCCATGGGGCTGCCTGGGCACCGAGGCGGGCTGTCCCCTGAGAGGCTCCAGAGGCCCCAGCAAGGCTCTTATCACCTTTCCCATCTGGTGGCTAAATGGACACTTGGCACCCAGCTCAGCTGGCATCCTGTTGTGGCTGCAGCTCTGTCAGACGTGGGTCGATGCAGGCACTTTGGGCAACAAAAGACTGTGGACTTTTCCTCACAGTCTTGGGGCAGAGAAGGAGAAGGGAAGACTGCTCCACGGTCCTGGGGGCCCCAGGATGTGGTTTGGCTTAATGCTCAGTGCCCTTCCAGTGGGCATTTGGGAGGTTTCAGGGAGGCAGATGGTGGAATCTGTCATATTGTCAGGTCAGAGGGGCTAAAGTCACAGGACGCCCCTGTGAGACCCATGTTGGGGGCAGGAGTCAAACCCCTTCTCTTTCCCTGAGCTCCCCCCACCCCCAGGTCAGTTTATTTCTAATTTTGATGGCCCTGTGGATACTTCCTTCCCCTTCCATACTAGTCAGCTTGGGCTGCCATCCCAGAATGCCACAGACTGGGCACTTGAACAACAAAAATATTTACTTCCAGTTTTGGAGGCCAGAAGTCCAAAATCCAGGTGTTGGTAGGTTCAGTTTCCCCTGAGGTCTCTCGGGCTTGCAGCTGGTGCCCTCCGGGCACACATAATCCCAGCATCTCTCTCTGTTTAATTTCCCCTTCTTACAAGGACACCAGTCAGAAGATCCCAGCCCACCCTAACAGCTTCATTTTAACTTAATCACCTCTTTAAAGGCCTTGCCTATGAATACAGTCACATTCTGAGGAACTGGCTGTCAAGGCTTCAACGTAGGAATTCAGCCCAGAACACAGGCCATTCCTTGCTCCACTTCTTCCAGATCGTGGTCACCAGCGCCCCCTCCTGGCAAAGATCTCAGCGGTGCTGAGGAGAATGCGGAGGTGGTGGGTGGTCCTCTGCTGAAGGGGTAGAGAGTGGGTAGGAGGTGGTGCCTGTTTATGGCTGCCCTTCCCCAGGTACCCTCTCTCTCTTCAGAATCTCCCTTCAACTCATGTTGTTTCAAGCCAGGGCCTCTTGCTAGCCCCTCACTCCAGAGGGTCCTCCCTCACAGTCCAGTGACCCCCCCGGGCGGGGTGGGGGCAGAATTCTGCTAGTCTCCCTCAGTACAGCCTGGGCCCGTCTCCCCCCCCCCCCCCCCCCCCCCCCCCCCCCCCCCCCCCCCGCTACTTCATACCTACGCGCAGTGCGTCAGTAGTAACCGTTCTGCACTGGCACCCCTTCTCTGCAAAAGCCCTCACCTGAGACTCCTCATTTCTCACCTTCATCACACCTCTGGCCTCCTTTCTCAGGTGCGCTCCTCTCCTTTCCCCTGGCCCTCACAATCTGATCCATTCTTTCCTTTCTGTGGGACTAACCTTGCAAGTGTCCCTTCCTCAGAAACCTTCAGTGGTTTCTCCCTGTTCTTTTCTAAAGTCCGATTTCTGTGTGCTGATGTCTCAGCTTCCAGACCCCACCGTTTTTCCAGCACAGGCAGGCTTCTTGCATGGGAAAACCTCCCATCCAGGCTGCTGCCTGTCCACCTCCCCCTGACAGGGAAGACCCTGCCCCTCCTTTAGCCAGCTCTGCTGATGGCCCAAGTGTGGTTCTTTCTCTCCCTCCTCTCCTCCTTCAGCCCTGGACGGAAAAACCAGCCCTTAGTGGTTCTCTGCTTGGTTTGGGGGGACTGGGTCTTTCCTCACCTACTGGCTATGTGCTCCTGGATAGCAGGGTGGGCTGGGCCCCCTGGTCCCTTCTCAGCTCCCCGCCCTGCTGCAGGGCTGACTTGGCTGGTGTTTGGTACCCAGTGCTTGTGGGTGCTGAAGAGGACCTTGCTGTGCCCGTGTGTGTATGTGTGTATATGTACATGGTGTGCATGTACGTGTGTGCATGTGTACTTCCTACGTATGTGTACTTCCTACTTCTCTTTCTAACCCTGAAACCTGCCTCTGGGAGGAAGTAAGGTCAGGAATCACAATTTTGAAAATCTCTCCGTGATTCTGATGCACAGTGAGGGCTGAGAACCATGCTGACGTCCAGCCCGGCTGCTCACATTTCCAGGGAAGGAAAGAACATTTACTGATAGATTGTCAGGTGTCAGCTAAGTTCACATGGACTCTCAGTTAATCCTCAAAGCCAGCCTGTGAGGCAGGTGTTTCTTCTCCTTTCCGTACGGACAAACAGAAAGATCACACAGGTCATCTGTGCCATAGTGCGGCTCAGACTGCCCCACCTGTGTGTCCCTTCTCTTTCTGCCCTTTCTTCTTCTATGTTTTACTTCCCAGATCCTTTGTCTTTGCTCATGCAGTTTCCTCTGCCAGAGGGTCAGTCGTCATCCCCGCCCCTAATTCTGTCAGAATTTGTGAGGTCCAGTACAAATGCCCCATCTTCTTCTCTGCTCCAGCCAGGGCCCACCCCAACACAGGAATTCCCAAGGGGTTTGGTGTGTGCATCTGTGGTAGCTGTCCTGGCATCTGGCACACCCTATGTGCTCCGTTTGGTAAATGTCTATGACTTTTCAGTGGTGAGCAGTGCTCCCAGGGGAGGCCACAAGGGAGCAAGAAGTCTGGAAAGGAGCTTCTGTTCAGGAAGAGGAGGGTGCAAGGGGATAAGGGCCTAGAGCTGGGGGAAAGGTGGGGGGAAGTGTCCACAGTGAAGGTATTGGCGAGGGCCAGTGCAGTGGCTGTGGACGCACCCACTTCCTTCCTACTCTCCTTAGCAGCCATCTGATAACCCTTGAGGGATGATTCTGATCGTATGCAACCTGGATCTGGGACAGGCTGTGTGAATGAGGGGGCAGGAGGCCTTCCAGCTGGTGACCTAGCTTACTCCAGCCCTGCCAGCCCCTTGGGGTTTGGGGTAGACCAGTACGAGGTGGACAGAGAAGGGTTGTATTTTGGAGTAAGGGGAGGGCAACTGGCAGCCAGTCCCCTCCATTGTCACCTGGAACACACAGCTGGAACACACAGGAAATGCCGCTGGCAAGGCTCCTGCTGGGCTGATCCCAAGGATTTAGCCAGTCCCCCACACCCACACCTCTTCCAGGATAATGGATGCTGTAGGTTTTTTGTTTGTTTTTGTTTTTGTTTTTGCTGCCACAACAAACTACTATAAACTTCAAGCAAAAGATTCTTTTACTGTTCTGTAGATGAGAAGTCTGACAAGTCTCATTGGGTTGACATGATGTTAGTGGGGCTGCATTCCCTTCCGGAGCCTCTAGGGGAGAATCTGTTTACTTGCCTTTTCCACTTTACAGAGGTTGCTCACATTTCTTGTTTTGTGACCTCTTCCCCCACGTTCAAAGCCAGTGACACTGCATCTCGCTGACCATTCTTCTGTACTTACATCTCCCACAGGCCACAGAAAAGTTCTTTAGCTTTAAGGATGCATGTGATTAGATTGGGCCCACCCAGATAGCCTGGGGCAATCTCCCATCTCATAGTCCTATGTCACATCCAGAAAAGCCCTTTTACCAGGAAAGGTAACAAATGTATTCACAGGTTCTGGGGATCAAGATGTGGACATCTCTGGGGGTCATTATTCTGCCTACCACAAATCCAGTGAGGATCTGGTGAATGTTCCTTAGGCTACATAGTGGTGTGCTCGAGGCTTCTGGCCATGCTTGCTGGCGCACGTCCAGTGTCACTCATCCCCACAGAGGGACTGGGAGGAAGGGACGTGCACATGGAATGCGGACCGTGAGCTCAGCCCTTTGTGAAGTGTCTGAGTCGTTTCAATCCTCACAGCAGCCAGGCGAGATAGCTCAACTTCACAGAAACAGCAAAGGCCCAGAAAGGCTAATTACCTTGCCCTGGTTTCCAAGCCTGGGTTTTTTCCTGGATACCACATGTCCTCCTGTGGGTGTGTGCCCAGGAGAGGGGTCACTGCCATCCAGTGTTTCTTTCTTGGAGACTTCCATGGAGTGAATAGATTATATGAAATTCAGGCAGGGGACAAACTGTTTCTCAGCCCAAGAGTCCTCTACTGTGGCCAAAATGACCATGGGCCTAGGCTTCATACATAACTAGAGGTTTTGCTAAACTTTGGGAATTCAGATGGACCAAAGCATGGTAACCTATAACCTCAAGCTCTCATGGGATACTTAAGCTAGCCCAGAAGTTCTGGGATGGATTGGGCTGTGTTCAGCCCCTGGGATTTTCTGTTCCTGGCAGAGCAGCAGCCACCCCCTACTGCCCCAGGGACCCTTAAGCCTGAAACCTTGTGAGCATTTGTCTGTAGGGTCTCTCCCAGGAGATTATAGCGACACCATGCGATACTCTCCATATTTTCTATAGTGAAATAGATTAGCTTTATAAACCGAAAAAAAAAATCTTAATGATGAATGTTATTTGAAAATGGCACTGAATCCTTGTTGGGACCTAGGGTAAGGAAGTTTATTTTCCTGTTCCTTAGTTTCCTCAAATTGTAAAGTGGATGTTATGATTCCCCAGGACATCTCAGCTGTGAAATATGAGAAAGATAAAAATCAGGAGAAGTAAAATCAATTTCTTTTGGATTAATCTACCCCCCCCCCCACAAGCAGGGGTAATTAACTTGGTTCTCAAGCCCTGGCCTTGGCTACCTGCAGTAACTGGACTGAGGTCTTCTTGTGTCTATTGTGATGTGATTTGAACAGAACCGAAGCTATGATTTGTCCCACTGTGAGGATCCACTGCTTGAAGCCGTAAGAGCTGAGCCTTCATGAATTTGAGTCCGTGTTCTTTGCTAAGTAAAAACAACAGACCTTGTTTTGAGTGCCTACTGTGTACCAGGGCCTGTTTGGGTTGTATGGAGGTCAAGGATGACATAGACATAATCTCTGCTGGGGTAGAGGGCCTTGGCATGGGGTCTGCCTGACCATCTGCTCCTAAATCCTTTAGGAGGCCACCAGAATCTTGGAGAGAGAGAGAGGCAGGGCAGTTTTCCTCTCTAGGCTCCAGTTTCTTGGCATAATGAAGAGGTTCATCTAAGTGGTGTCACACTTACATGTCAGGCATTGTGCTGGGCTCCAGAGACAGTGATGAATCTGGCAGGTCCTGTCCTCCAGGGGTCTTGTAGCTGTCACTATATGTTGCTGGGATTCCCAGGCTCAAGTTCAGAATAGGGGCCTTTCTTCTTTGCCATTTGAGGAATTCCCTTCTTTTACCTTTTTTGCCCACCCTGAGTCTTTCTCTTTTTCATTTTTTTCTCTCTTATACCTCCTCCCTTCCTCACACAGGGCCATGAATATTAATTGACATCTCAGTTCTGTTGGGTTGTGGGTCGGAATTGAGCCCTGCTTCTGGCTAGTGGGCAGTTCATCAAGGCTGAATCAGGGCAGAACGACCGAGTTCTTACATATGCTGGTCTGCTACACCACATTATTGGAGGATGCACTTGGCACATCCACGGCTCCCTTTTCTCAGGTGGATGGGAGCCTCAGGGCCCTCAGTGCCTCCATCAGGAGACAATGGGATTGACCTCTAGTAGCTGGGATTCATCTCTTACTGACCCTTCTCAACCCCAACTAAGCCATTGACAAAAGTCCTGTTGTGGGAAGAAAATTGGTCCTTCTAACAGCTTATTTCCCCACCAGAAGAGATTCTTGGGGTAGTGGGGACTTAAGTCACCTTTAGTGGAAGACTAGAAGCAAGTTTGAGTTTCTCATCAATTGTGAAAAACATGTTCCCTTTGGGAAGGATGGCTTATGGTGAGGCCTGGGGTAAGGTGGTCAGATGCCAGTACTGTGAACAGTAGCAGTCATTCAGGTGGGGATAGGGCTGCTACAGACTCATTCTGAGTAAAGCCCTTAGGAGGGTAAAGGAGGGATTAACATGATTAAGGGCCACTTCAACTGTCCTAGGTAAATGGCATTTAAACATTCTTCATGTTGCTTTCAGTGCTGTAATCTTCAGTGACTTTCTAGACAGTGTGACCCATTGTTAGGGAAGGGGAGTAATTATACACAATTTAAAAGAAATCTTCTGTTTCCTCCCCAGCTGGGGGATTTGGAACGACTATGGTGACAGTATGGGAGGGAGAAATTAAGGCGTCAAAGTGATCAGTTCTGGAGGCGGCTTCGAGAACCTTCCCTAGCCAGCTTGAACTTTCACATTCTCTCTCCCTTTTGAGGCCCTGAGGGTGGGGAGGACACCATGCTGTGCGACTGTCTTTCAGATCCATCTTCCCTCCACCCCTGTTCACAGAGAGAAGAGCCAAACTCCGTCCTTGGGGCCCACCTTCTCGTCCATCTTTGCTCCGGAAGTGCCTGCTGTGGACATGCGAGCTCCGGAAGCTGCGTTTGCAGCCCACTCGCCTCACGTGTCCCCGCCCGGAAGTGCAGACCTGGGTGGTGGGGCGGAGCCGAAGTATCGGAAGAAGCGGAGGCGGCCACGCCCACAGCGAAGGCAGCGGCTTAGGCAGTTCAGTGATCTGTGGGTTCGACTGGAGGAGCGGTGAGATGGTGGTTTGGGCTGGGCCGGGCTGGGCTGGCCTGGGTAGGGCCTGGCAGGGAGCCCATTCCGGGCCTCCATGCGCCCCCTGGGAGTGTGGGTGGGGAGCAGCCCAGGAATGCCCACCACACTGCTTAAGAGTGAGGGTCTTCAAGGCTCTGGTGGGGATAAATGCCCCACTGGTGGACCAGCCTTTCCTGTTCCTCACAGTCTTAGGCACTGGTGTTCCGGTCACTGTGATACAGATGAATCCAGATTAAAGGTAGTTGCTTCAAGCTGGAATAAGGGCAACATGTTTATCTTTGTTAAAGGATGGCGGGGTGGGGGAGCTGGTGTGGGTGTGCATGAGTGTGTTGGTTTGCCAGCCCTTTTTGCACTGCAGATCAGGGGTTTCATAGTTTTGCAGAGTTGGAAGCATCCTTGTAAGAATGGGCTTCTTCAGCCCCCACGCTTGACAGGGAGTAGGGTGACCACAGAATGTACTCTCAGAGATTCTTAGTGGGTAGGTCAGAGGTGGGCAGAGGAGTCAAAGGTGATGACTCAGCCTGGTCTGCAGGGCATAAGGCTTCTGGAAGAACTACATCAGAGAGGCCTGGGATCCAGGATCCAGTTCAACCTGAGTGTATTGAGTTCCTTCCATGCGCCTGCTTTTGTGTTCAGGGCTGTGGCTTTGGAGTAAACCAGGCATTAGCCATCTGCCTTCATGGAGTTCACATTCTGGGGAGGAATCCAGATCTTGAGTTGATCGTCTGCAAAGGAAGTATAGGGTGCTGTGGGAATGTGCTTTTGTGTGTGTTGGAGGGTTGTGTGTGTGTATAGGGCTGGGCACCAGGAAAGGCCTTGTGGAGTGACGGACTTTTCAGCTGATACTGAGAAGAAGCCTGACAAAGTGAAGTCCAACGAACAGAAATTTTGAGTCTGGATCGGGAGATTCAGGGATCTGATGCCTGCGTAGGTCCTTAATAATGTTGAGTAGCAACTGAGCAAGGAGGGGAAGGAGTTCCAAGCAAAGGGAACAACTTGAAGGCATGGAGAGAGTGAGCGTGTTGAAGAAACCAAGATGAAGTAATTATGGCTGGAGCCTGGGAAGTCAAGAGCAGTGGGGTGGGGTGGGGTGGGTCCAGACAGGAAGTGGGGTGGAGTGACTGAGAGTCTTATGCCTGCAGGAATGAGGAGCCACTGGAGGCAGGAAGCCGGCATCCAATGTGCTGTGGAATTGGTAGCTTCTTTGGTTTTGTTTTTTAAATTTTAAAAAGATTTTATTTACCTATTTGAGAGAGTGAGTGGGAGAGGGAGAATCTGAAACAGACCTCACTCTGAGCGGGAAACCTGACTGGGGACTTGATCCCGTGACTGTGAGAGCATTATTTGAGCCAAAATCAACAGTCAGATGCTTAACTGACTGAGCCACCCAGGCAGCCCTGGGATTTGCATTTTTATTTTTTCACTTTTTAAAGATTTTATTTATTTATTTGACAGAGAAAGAGAGAGAGAGTATAAGCAGGCAGAGGGAGAGGGAGAAGCAGGCTCCATGGTGAGCAGGGAGCCAGATGTGGGTCTCAATCCCAGGACCCTGAGATCATGATCTGAGCTGAAGGGAGTCGATTAACCCTCTGAGCCACCCAGGTGTCCTAATTGGCATTTTTAAATGGAGGGAAGCTGGGTGCCAAATAGGACCTGGAGAACAGGGACAAATCCTGTTGTATCCGTGTTCCACAGTACCTGACAGAGGACAGCCCTCCAACCATCCTTCCTTGGTGGAGGAAGGATGTACCTGTTTGGTACTTTTTCATTCTGGGCCATTTCCTTTCAAGGTGGCCCGGAGTTGGGCACTTTACACCTGAGCTGAGCTGAAAGGTCCAGGTGGGCCTGAGACCATGGGCCCCTCAGCTCATACTGTCTTGACTTGGGCTGTCTGCATGGTGTTCACACCAGACTGAGCTGGGATGGGGGAGAGAGCCAGATCCCAGGGAGGATACCTCGTGGCTTGGATGTGCCTCTCTATGTGGTCAGTGAGGAGGGTCCCTGCCTAAGATCACCCAAAGGCTAATGATAAGCAAGTTTGAGTTGGGCCTTCTTGCACCTAGAGTGTTGATAATCTCTGAACCAAGAACCATATCGCTGGGGGACATGCACTGGTCTTAGCACTTGTATCAGCTGGGTTTGTTGTAGCAGTGGTATTAAGGGACAAAGACACAGGAAGCCCATTAATATACTAAATCCATTCCCATCTATCTTTAAAAAAGGGAGATGAAAAGAAGCTGTGTGGGCCTTTGGGGGCCTTGGAGTAGCCAGTGGCTCCTGCTGTGCTCTGAGACTCTTGTTTTTTTCTTTTTCTCCCAGTGTCATGGTCCCACAGCTCCAGGTCCCCATTCTGGATAGGTCCGTCTCCGCTGAGCTGCAGCTCCTTCACCGTGGGCATTCCCACCACAGCCAGTTGGTGGCCAGCAGTGCCTGCCTGTCTCTCTGGACTCCTGTGTTCTGGGTGCTGGCGCTGGCTTTCCAAACAGAGGCACCCCTCCTGTAATGACTGGAGGGGCTAGGCCAAGCCCCTGACCCCATGGACTTGAAGGATGGCCATTCCTGTACTCCACACTCTGGTCTAGCCTTGATAGGCCCAACCCAAGAAAAGAGAGTAAAATGCAGTGTTGGTGGTTCTCTGTCCAAGAATTGACTTTGGGTTATCCAGCAGAGCTTGGGGTAGGTGTACAGTTTTGTAACATAATGAGTTGTATGAAAATAATTATAAATGTATTATATGAAAATAATTAAATACATTTTCTGTGTAGACTTTTTCCTACAACGTGTATATATTATGCAAACAACTCTTGCTCACACCCTCTGGATACTATTACTGCTTCATTCCTGGGCTCTGCTCCTGGGCTTCTGCCACTTTGGATCCTGACCCTGTTCTCCTTCCTGCTGCTCCTCTTCCTACTCACTGCGGGTTCTGGATTCTGGGGAGTCAGTAGGCCGCAGGACCTTTGTTTACTCATCTCTATTTCAGGTCTGTGATTAGGGTACTTCCTGCACTCTGGCAAGCGCTTTAATTACGTATAATGGGTCTCACTGGCATGCTGAAGACTGGGTGAATGGGTGGGTTTTGTCAAAGGGGCTGTGCAAGAAAGTGGTTTCCAAACACTCCCTCTTCCTGTCTTGTTATTTATTATTTATATGTCTGTGTCTTATGGGGAATCTATAGAAAATGAATAAGAGTAGAATTGTCTTGGTTGAGTCTGAAATGGGAACTTTTATCCCTACCCCCCACCCCTTCCTGCCCCACAGCAAGGTTTCCTTAGGGGCCTTCAAGCAGCTCACAGAAACCCGGAGGGTCTTCGCAGGACTTGGATGGGACCAACAAGAAACAGATGTGTTTGTTCCTAATGTGGTTTGGGGAAAGCCTGATTGCCTGGGCTTTCGGTGCTGTGATCTTCTCTTCCTAGACTTTGTTGTGGGTGCATTCACAGTCGTTTCCAGGGCCCAGAAGATTCTGGGGTCTACTTAAAGAGTGGTGTGGTGGGACTCAGGATGCCGTCCTCCACCTTTGCTTCATTCTGCACCGTGCACCCTGTATTGCAGGGGTAGGAGGGTTCAGTGTTCCTGGATTCCCTTGCTGCTATGTTTGAGATTCTCCTAATGAGCTAGATTTACGTGCCTTGGAAGGTGGAAGGGCTCAGAAGACCTTTTTCTTCGGGAGTGGTGGCAGATACGTGGAGGCTCCAGGAGGCACGAGTTTGTGCAGTGGCCCGGCGCTACATTTCCTTGTCCAGTCAGTCTCCTGCTCCACGAGTGTGGTACAGCTGTGAGGTCGGCAGTTTCCCACAGCTCTCTGACCTTGGATTACAGCTGCTGTGGTGCCCGATGTCCACCTCTGACTTCTGCTACAGCCATTCCCATGGCTTAGTAAGCACCTTTTCCCGCTTGGAACGCCAAGAGTAGCCTCAGATTCCTGCTCTGAACTCTAAGGTAATAGAAGTGCTCTTTGCTTTTCCAGGACTTGAGTCTGTTTTTTTTAACTTGGATAGGAATGGGGATGAAGGTGGAAGTAAAATGGGAAGGCAGGATTACTGGGTCTGACCCAATTCTTGCAAATTTCTGTTACGGGGGTGATGTAGCTTTATCCATCCTAGCCAGGTGATCCCCAGTTTCTTGGCTCGTGTTATGGCTGAGGAGGCAAACAGACCCTTGTTGGCAGGGCTGACACAAGATGGTTTGCCACAGTGACTGCCCTATCTTAGTACTGGCCCAACAACCTCTGCTTGTGGTGAGGAGGCGGGCTCAGACCACCCCGGCTGGGACTTGGCTGCTTTTCACGCAGGCTTATCTAAAGTGGAAGGAGAAGCTCTGTACTTGGGCAAGACCAACCTGCACTTCGTGAAGCATAGCAGCTTTTTCTGAGGATTGTAGTATAGCCCCGTAGGGTGGGGGAACAGGCATCTTGGGGTCAACATCTTGTTATGCAGCTCATTTGCTCATCACCTTCCCCTGTGTTGGGCTCTGAACCTTAATCATTTCCCAGAAATGGAAGCCCCTGGGACCATGTGACTGCAGTGGACACCAGGCCTTTCGTATTAGCGTGAGGAGGAAGGAAGCCCCTGTGGGTAAGGCATGGCTGAGCTCTGACTCGCCCAGGCTACCGACGACGGGAAGCTGCCTGACTCACCTGGGGGAGGGGAGCAGGTTTAAGAGGTGAGTGCTGAACCCACTGCTTTCACATCAGAGCTTGAATCAGCAACAGGAAGAAACATTCAAAGTTTATTTTAGGTTAGAAGAGAAAAAACACATCTACCCTCTTAAGTCAGATCCAAAGGAAAGCTGTTCTGCTCACATATAAGTTCTGCAGACCTTTGTCTCCCATCAGGAAAGATCTCTGGCCTGGTTCTTTTTTAGCAGGAGGTGGCAACTTTTCACTCATTTAGCTGGCAGAGCAAAGCTGATCCCTTGGCAACCCAGTAATCTTTGGACCGCTTCGAAGGTAAGAGGACAGTAACCACAAAGTTGGTTGAGTGACCTAGTTAAGGATACAAGGACAAAAGGTTTGTTAAAGAATAACCCCTTGATACAGAGAGCACTGTATCAAGATACCTGGTTTCAGGCCTGACTCAGTCTGTAAAGATAATGGGTAGCTAGCCCTCTACAGATTTTAGTTTTATGCTCTGTAAGATGAATATGTTAGGACATGATCCTTTAGGCCCTGTCCAGCTCTGACTTTGTATCATGTTGTAAAGGATGTTTCAGATTCTCTGCAGTCTGACTGAGGGAACACTGGACTACAATTCAGCCCTGAGTTTTTAGTGGGACTTGGGATGCATTTGGTAGGTTGGGCATCTGTTCATTTGTCCATCTGTCTGTCCATCCATGCATGCCTTGTTTCACCCTGCAGTTGGGCACCAGGGCTCCTGAAATGACTAAGCACAATTGTAGATATCTGGTCCTCAGCTGTGGGGCATCTGAAGTAAGAGGTCACTTTTGCACTTTTGCACCAGGACCAGTGTGAGAAGTAGAGCATTCTGCCCTCAAGATGGTACTGCATTCATGGCAAACCCCATCTGTGTGGAAGTTGGAGAAGGTGGTGCTGTCTCCTACAGAGAATGCCTATGTCTTCCCTTTCCTTACTTTTGTATGCCATGCCCTGCATGGTGCCTGGGCAATGCTTGAGTGACGTTTTATAGTACAGATGCACCACACACACACACACACACACACACACACACACACACACACATCTATACACATATACCTAGACCCACACATACACACATTTATATATATATTTAACTGTTTGATTCAGGATTCTAATGAGGTCCATGCCTTGCAGTAGTGATGGGTTTTTATTTGATTTGATTTGAGAGCATGTTAGTGGGGGTGGAGTAAGGGAGAGAGAGAATCCCAAGCAAGCTCCACACCCAGCAAGGAGCCTGATGTGGGGATTGATCCCACAACCCTGAGATCACAACCTCAGTCAAAATCAAAATCAAGAGTCAGATGCCCAATCTACTGAGCCATCCAGGTGCCCCAGTGATATGTCTCTTAAATCTCTTTCAGTTGGTAGGTTTCCCCTTCTGTTCCATTTGCCATCCCATTATAATTGTTGAAACAACCAGACTGTCCTGTAAAGTTTCCTACAGTCTGGATTTTTGCTGACAGCATCCTCTGGTGATTTTAAATGTGTTCCTCTATCCGTATAAAGGGGTGGTTAGATCTAGGGCATGATCCCATTCAGGTTTGAGCTTTTTGGGGCAAGAATACTTGAATAGGTTGTGTGTACTTCCATCAGGAAGCACCTTATATCTGATTTGTCTTTCTTTGTTGGGATATTAGCTGTTGATAATTATTACTTAGAGCCATTATTTCATTAGGGTTAATAATAATTTTTATTTATAGTTATGCCCCCCCTTTTAAAATTTTATTAACACATAGTGTATTATTTGCTTCAGGGGTACAGGTCTGTGAATCCTTAGTCTTACACAATTCACAGCACTCATCATAGCACATACCCTCCCCAATGTCCATAACCCAGCCACCCTATCCAGCCACCCATAACCCACCCTATCTCTCCCCCCACACACCCCCCAGCAACCCTAAGTTTCTTTCCTGAGATTAAGAGTCTCTTATGGTTGTCTCTCTCCCTGGTCCCATCTTGTTTCATCCCCCCCACCCCACGACCTCCCACCCTGCCTCTCAAATTTCTCATATCAGAGAGATCATATAATTGTCTTTCTCTGATTGACTTATTTCACTCAGCATAATACTCTCGAGTTCCATCCACATTATGGCAAATGGCAAGATTTTGTTTTTTTTATGGCTGCATAGCATTCCACTGTATATATATACACCACATCTTCCTTATCCATTCATCTGTTGATGGACATCTAGGTTCTTTCCACAGTTTGGCCATTGTTGACACTGCTGTTATAAACATTCAGGTGAATGTGCCCCTCTGGATCCCTACATTTGTTATCTTTAGGGTAAATACCCCGTAGTGTGATTGCTGGGTTGTAGGGTAGCTCTACTTTCAACTTTTTGAGGAACCTCCATACTGTTTTCCACAGTGGCTGCACCAGTTTGCATTCCCACTAACAGTGTAGGGGGGTTCCCCTTTGTTTGCATCTTCGCTGACATCTGTCCTTTCCTGACTGGTTAATTTTAGCCATTCTGACTGGTGTGTGTTGGTATCTCACTGTGGTTTTGATTTGTGTTTCCCTGATGCTGAGTGATGTTGAGCAGTTTTTCATGTGTCTGTTGGCCATTTGGATGTCTTCTTTGCAGAAATGTTTGTTCATCTCTTCTGCCCATTTCTTGATTGGATTCGTTGTTCTTTAGGTGTTGAGTCTGAGAAGTTCCTATAGATTTTGGATACTAGCCCTTTATCTGATATGTCATTTGCAAATATCTTCTCCCATTCTGTCAGTTATCTTTTGTGTTTTTTTTTTTTTTACTATTTCCTTTGCTGTGCAAAAACTTTCCATCTTGATGACGTCCCAGTAGTTCATGTATGCCCTGGCTTTCCTTGCCTTTGGTAATGTTTCTAGGAAGAAGTTGCTGTGGCTGAGGTCGAAGAGGTTGCTGCCTGTGTTCTTCTCAAGGATTTTGAGGGATTCCTGTCTCATGTTGAGGTCTTTCATCCATTTTGATTCTATTTTCGTGTGTGGTGTAAGGATATAGTCCAGTTTCATTCTTCTGCATGTGGCCGTCCAATT